TATATATATTGAATATGTTGTATCTACAAGATCTTTCAGATGACAGTTTGGCTAAATGTCCAAACAATCCAAGTTGATGTTCTTTCTGGCAGTTCAGAAGGCATTGATGAAGATGCTCTCCTACCACCCTCAAATGTGCTTTAAGAATACATTAGTCAGTGCAGAACTAAAAGAGACAGAAAAGAAAACCGCTGCTCTGAAGTGTTGCTGTTGCTCAATCTGCTGATGAAAGCAGCAGGATTATGTTGCACTGATCAAAGTGCGTCCAATTATCAAAATAACCTGACTCTTATCACGGTTGTATCTGCGCTGCTGCATTTATTTGGCTAGCCTATGTGCTGATAGTTTGTTTTTATTTCCTCCTCTGCAGGCAGAGCAAGGACCTCACAGGTCTTGAAAAAACAAAACAACCGTTTGTCCTCTGAATGGACCAAGGTGATATGCAGCATCTATTGAAAGAGCCTCATGGAAAACATATGGTGTGCAATTATTTTTAAAGGGGATATATCATGCCAAATTTACTTTTTTTAGCCATTAAATATGTACAGTGCTAGCCTGGCCCTTGCCTTCCTACGCAGTTCTGATCAATTCTAGTTTCCCTTCACTGCTCCATCTGGGATTTCTCCCATAGATGAGGATTTCTTCAGGAGAATTTCAGTCAGAAAACGGAGGAGTTATGAACGACGACGTCAATTTTCTGCGCAGTTATCTTTCTGTGGTTTTTTTTAACAATGTCAGCGGAGGAAGTGAATGAAGCAAGTCCGTGTTGACAAGTCTTCAAAATTAAATTAAATTTGCCTCACAAAGCCTGCAGCACTCAGTTACAGCCATCTCGTTCAGCTTGGTACTTCTCTCCTCTCGGTAGGCGTTTAAGTGCAGCTCGATGTGATTTTCCACGGTAACTTGTGTCCCCGCTCTGTGGGCTGTAACTTCTTTTAAAAGTGGGTCGCTGAAGCTGCTGTTTAACGTTGATCATTCTGTGCTGCAGCTAACTATTGACAGAAAAAAGTCTGATATTTAGTCTGTAATTACTGCTACAGCAAACCGTTGCTTATAAATGCAGTAAAACAAAACCAAAATGATTTTCTTATAAATGAACTTACAGTTACTGCACACTTTATGCCTAGGAGTGTGAGCAAATACTGTATGTTGATTTTTTTCCTCACGGATTTAACTCAATGAAAGTCAAACAACATTGCCGACAGTGTCTTTATTGCACAAAATAAAATTCAGACAACATTTAACTACATTTAAAAAACTACTTTAAAGTCCGAATGTAACAGGAGCAGCTCTCCTGTTCTGTAGCTGCCCAGTCTCTGGCTGCTTCGACCCAGATAGAGAGGCAGCCGGTACCGATCTATGTCAGAGAATGTGGAGCAGCGGTCCGGGAGCTCAGCTGGTCACTTGTTGAAGGTGACTCTGAACAAAAAAATAATGATTAGCCTTGAATACGGTCAACATAATTACAATAAATGTAGAGCTGGGAGTGCTGTTTTTAATCCTGAATCGCTAACTAGCGATAGCCGCTAGCTGCTAACTGGTTAGCATTGGAAACGAACATTCACAAAGGACACATTGGTACAAACTTTAAAAATAAAAGTAGTTTCACAAGCGAGACATGTCCCACAAATTATGTTTAATATCTTATTAAATGCATGAAGCACTCACCGTCTGCAGATGTCTCTGAAATTTGCGAAGCGTCCAGTCCACAGTAGGGTTTTTCACAGTGCAAGCATTTTCCAGTTAGCCTCCTTCACAGTGGAGCTGTCGCACTGTATACGTCGCAGCCAACCGTTAGCGATTGGGTAAATCAGATCCAATCGTTTTAAACTTCAACAGAGTCCACGCCTCCAGCAAGCAATCACTTCTCAATAGCAGAGAGTCCAGTCCCACGAAGCAAAGCAAAGGACAAGGGGCTGGTTTTTACCAGGTTAGTAGTGCAGAAAAGTTGACTTTTTACTGACTGGTTGACTGGTGTTGCATAGATATCTTTATATTCTGTTTGAGTCATACATGTATTCTCAATTTGTTCAGTTTTTTCTTTTTTCTATGACTTTTTCTGTAATATTATGTCAAATTATTTGCGACGGAACTGCCAAATAAGTTCTGGATTCACCAACTACAGTTTGGTAGTCTACATTCTATCAGGATTTCAGGTTTAAGTCAAAGATGAGCAGGTTTAACAGACAAACAGACACGGAGACCAGATAAAAGGTAAGTGTTATTTATTTACAAGTGGTAGGGATATGTACAGGGGATCCAGGCTGCGGAGGGAAAAGGAAGGCGGTGAGTATCCAGGTAAGTATTTAGACTGAAGGGGGAACTTGAGATGTAATAATAAATAGAGATCTTACAGTTTGAGGAGGCGAGCGACACGTAGAGGAGAGGG